GAAAAGCGAGCCAGAGGGAGGGTCCACATGATCATATGGACTGATACTAGGTTCCATCAATCCAGGCCATAGAATTTGTTGCTTATTATTTTTTCTATAATAGTATGACTAACTTCTGCCTTTGCATGGAGATTTTTTTGGGGGGAGGGGGAGCTTTTTTGCCTTAAAATCGGCTTCAGGAAAAGGATGTTTTTGTTTATAGAAAAGGGTGTCCTGTATTTCCTTTTTGTGGCATCTTCTAATGGAAATTGTTGCACATTTATTCCGAAATAGGGATGGGCACAAACTAGGAAAACCCAGTTCAGGTTCAGGACCAGTTCCAAACCCTAACCCAGCTGCTCTGCTGAAATTGGTGTGTTTCTAATGGCAGAATATAGTACGTGAAGAGAAACACAACCACTGGCAATGAATGACCATTTAAGCATGTATGGAGAACAGGTTATTAGTGTGCTTCGCTCTTGACAATGTATATTCTCTAACAAATGGGACAATACGTATGGTGGTGTGCTTATGAAGTTCTTGCATCCTAATCTGATTTTAGAATCAAACAATACCTTTTTCAGTGAGAAGGCTGAGAGGCTGTTGATCTGTACCTATAATCACTAAAAATAAAAACATTATATAGGCCTTGAAGAGGTTTTTTTATGTTACTGAGCCTGGATTATTTAGCTGTGCATACTCTGGTGCTCTGTCATCGACATCCAGGAAATGAGCAAATGTGAATCTGTATATGTTGTTTGCCTGCATGAGTGCATACTCTTGAAAACTGTTTATTGTAGATCAAAAGATGAATAGATCACTTTAACTTTAGAGGTAGATGGAGGTAGAGCTGTTCTTTGTTCTCAAATATTTGTCCTTCCATACAGGAACCTTTTCTTTCCTTTCGTGTTTTGAAAAAGCAGTGTGTCTTAAAGAGCAGGATTTCACCACTATTTTTGCATGATATATGTTCATTGTAGATTGCTTGGAACCTTCCCCTTTCCAGTATGTAGTGGATCAAGGTATATCAATTATGAACAGAAGTTTATACATACTTCAGAAAAATACAGCAGTAATGTTATTAAATTCCAAATGCTGCTTCAGTGTTGTCACAAAGAAGCCCAGCCAATTCATTCTTTTGTGTTCTTAATTTGTAAACTCAGATAGTTTTTAAAGCAGTATGACATTTGCAGCACCCCACAATGATTTCCTGTTCATAAGAAGTGAGATTTTATAGTTTGGTTGGTTGCAGCACTTTTATGCCGAATTGACAGGAATGGAGAGGAGTTTTATGTCCCTGCAGAGTTAACTTATAGGGTGGGAAGCAGAGACAACAACAGTCCTTCCACAACAGGCAAGATAATCAGTTTGGAGCATCTTATTAGGTTGCTACATAAATAGCAGATATTGAAACAGGCAAGACAGGGAAAAATCAAGCAGGGTTTCAGTGTTTGGCACAGACAAGAATGGAGAAAAAATGGGGTGTAGAAATATGGTTAGGTGTAAGAGTCACACAGAAGAAGGCTTCAAGCAGGAAGGAGTTCTATAGGAGCAGGAATAGGAAATGGCCAGTCATTCACAGATTGATAAAATCAATCAATACCTCTCTCTCAAAACTGGGATGTGGTAGCTGAAAAAGGAAGGCTCCAGATTTTTCACGGGATTTGAGACTCCCATTTAACTCCGGATGGTGGCTGTTTGGTTTAAACCACATTGTTTCATGGGTGAACAAGCATCTTGGAGTGCTTGTAGCAATAATCTTCCATCTAGTATTGTTGAGGTGTTAACAGCATTTCTGGTATTTAGAATGCAGTTGTTATGTTAAATAGTCTCTTAACTTAAAAAAGGGAAAGGTATGCAATATACCATCCAAGTTTCCTGCCTGTAACATTGCAGAAATTTCCCCTAAAGAGCAACATTTGACAAAGATAACTGACAAAGGGATCTTTGACTCATGAAAGCTTATGCCCTGGAAAACTGCAGCTACCTACTGGAAACTTTCCCTAAAGATATATTCAGATGGTGATCTTGACTTCTGCTCACAAGTGCAGAGGGATTCTCTTGGATATTGTTTGAAAGTTTCCAGTCTGCAGCTGTTATATTTCAGCAAGTCAGTTTTAAAATATACCAGAGCCACAGTGGAGTGGATACCATTGGCATAAGATTAATTTGTTAGATGTGAAGGGGTGGAGTTCATGCAATTGTTTTTGAAGATCTTTAATTCCCTGAGTTACTGAATACTTAGAATAGGGGTGTCAAACATACAGCAACTGGCTCTCTCCTGCTTCCTTATCTGGGGCTGCTGCTGCATCACAGCTTGCTTTGTCCAGCTCCCTCAACCACACGGTAAAGATAGGCAATCCTCTCTTCCCTGTATTGACTGAGGCTCCTCCCCCTGCTCCTCCCTTGGGAGGAGGGTTTTTTTAAAAGGGAGGGGGAAAGAGCTAGAGCTTGCTTTGCCAGTCTCCCTCAGTCACACAGGATACAAAAGCAATCCTCTCTTCCCTGCATTGGCTGAGGCTCATCCCCCTCCTCCTCCCTTGGGGAGGAAGGGAGGGGGAGGGAGGGAATGAATGCTTGCTTTGCCAGGTTCCCTCAATTGCACAGGATACAAAGGCAATCCTCTCTTCCCTGCATTGACTGAGGCTCTGCCTCCCCCTCCCCTTGCTACTATGTGTGTATGTGAAACAAAGTTGAGTCCAACTTCAGGACCAACAAAGTTTTACTCAAGGTATGAGCTTTCCTGTGCCTTGCTAGAGCTTGTGTGTGTGTGTGTGTTGTTGTTGGGCTCATTATGCCGCAGCTTTCTTGGGTGCAACTGGGTTCACCTCCCCCTTGCCTTTTGTTTTTCACCGCATTCATGCCCTCGTGATCCAGTCTTTCTCAGTAAGAAAGCAATGTGAACTATTTAGATGAGGAATAACAACAAGCCAGTGAGGTGGATTAGGCTGGGAGTGTGTGTGCAAACCAAGGTCACCCAACACATTTCCTTTGTAGACTGGAGATTTTGAACCTAGGCTTCACAGATAGTAGGCTGATCCTGACCACTATACATTGCTGTCTCTCTATTCTTGCACTGTCTCATAGGAGTTGTACTTATTTTTCTGAGGAAGACTATAGTTTTTGTAGACAAACACATAGCCCTCATTCTGTGTCATGATGTCTTCACGCATTCTTGACCAGCACACTCCTGCCTCTCTCTCTATGAGCCCTGAAGGGCTTTACAGTCTGCCAGCCAACATCTTCTGATGTTCTCTGGCCCCAGGGACATCCATCTCACCTCGACTAGGGACTACCTGGTGGAATGAACTCCCATATATCAGGACCCTGTGGGACCTTTTACAGTTCCACAGGGCCTGCAAGACGGAGCTCTTCCGCCAGGCTTTTAATTAGGGTGGCGGATGTCCCTCCCTCTCTACTGGGCCTCTTCCGTCAGTGCCGTATTACCATCTAAGGACCAAATCTTGAAAGAGATTAGATCTGTGAGGCTTTAACTATAACTTACACTGGATGAATGTTGCTGTATTTTATTAGTGTTTTAACTGTTTTAAGTTTTGTATACTGTATATTGTTTACTATATCTGATGGAACCTGCCCTGAGCCTGCTATACAGGGAGGGCAGAATTTAAATCTAATAAAATAAATAAATAAAATAAATAATGCAAAAAAGCTCACAATGCCCCGCTTCAAGTGCAGAATATGCAAGCTCGAAGCATTTGACTATGAGATTTCTGTAATTAATGTCAACAAATCAAAAGTAGGTTTGCAGCTTACAGATACTCACCTGAACAGCTTACTCAAGATTGCTACAGCACAGACATTGTCTCCAGATTTTGGTGCTGTAATTCAGAGCAAGTGGTGTCAGTTATCAAAGACTGTTAAACAAACAAAATATGGCAAGAGTGCTAATGTTTTAAGCATGTTTGTAATTTATGAAAAATATCTTTAATTGTGGTTGTCTGTGTCCTTTATAAAGCTTATGTCTCTGGTACGTGGCACTACATTTTATGACATGCATGACCCAGCCGGCCAGGTCCCATTTATGTCAGATCTGACCCTCATAACAAATGAGTTTGACACCTTTCACTTAGAAGATGTGGACTGTATACCTAGAACACCAAGTTCAGCTATATTTTTTTACTACACCCAGAGCTAGAAAATACTATTGATTGTGGCTGTTTTAGCTTCCAAGCTAGTTGTTCATATGTTTTTAAATGTCTCCTTACTATGTGTAAAATGAATGAATAGATAACGCAGGTGCTTATGATATTGCTTGTTACATAGATTGTGCTATAACTTTAAAAAAAAAATCTGTCTTTCCAGCATATTAGGCCTTTATAGCAGCTATTGTACTGGACATAATACAGTGCACTGTTTTAAGAAAAATGCAGAGTTATTGTTAACACTAAAGAAATGAATTTGGGGTCATCTGGCATGCAGGCTGCTGTAGCATTTCCTTGATAAACCATTTTATTTCCTGCTGCAATTGCAAGTACTTTTAAAGGACAAAACCAATTAATTATATTTGGGGGGGTGTTTTAGGTTATGTTATCTTGATGTGCAATACAGCACACTTTGGAGCAGACTTTGCTTCACAAGTGACTTAAATAGAATAAACATAAAAATCAAAAGAAGCAGAAGTCTCACAGTGAGCTTTTAAACAGTTGCAAAACAATGACATGCAGAAATTAATTGTGCCTGCTTAATTGATCACGTGGCTGGAAGAAACTGATTACGTATTATTCCAGCAGATTTGCTGTTTACTACTACTGAGATATATATGATCACTGGTGCTGTTTTGTTGGAAATCTCAACTGCAGTGTGTGTGTTCTATGTGAAATGTCTCTGTGTGCACATCGTACCCCTATAGGTGTAAATGTCTTTTTACATGTTAATTTTCTTATGTTGCTGGTATTTTTCCCCTGCCCAACCTCTCCATATTCTTGTCATTTTATTTTCTTGCCTTTTATTTTTTCTTTAACTGTCAGTGGAAATTATTGTCTTCCTGTCTCCATATTCAGGTAGTGTCAGTGGCTGAGTATCACCGCAGGATCGATGCTCTAAATAGTGAAGAACTACGCACACTCTGCAGACGTCTCAAGGTGCCCTCTTCAGTAGTTAACCTCCTTCCTCCAGAGCCTAGAATGTCTTTCTCTATAGTGTCCTTGATGGGGACAAGTTCCATACGTGGTGGGTTTGTCTTGGCTTCAACACTGCAAGGACCCAGCAGAGAATTCCTTCTTTATGGATGTCTCTATCTCTGCAGTGGTATGGCTGAGTGCTATGACATCTGTGTCAAATGGGTCATTTCTAGAGCTGAGCCAAATTTCCATGCATATCAATTTTTGAGTCCAGATTAGCCCATTAGATACTGTAAGCAAAATGTAATCAAACCCAGTGTTTCTCCACTCAGAGCTGTGCAAAATGCTCCTCACCAGTGTTCCCTCTAAGCTGAGTTAGTGTGAGCTAGCTCACAGTTTCTTAGCCTCCGGCTCACACATTTTTGTCTCAGCTCAGGAAGGATGGCTCCAGAGCAAGCTAATTTATGCAGTAGCCAAATCGCTTGCTCACAAGTTTAATGTCAATAGCTCATAAAGTAGAATTTTTGCTCACAAGACTCCACAGCTTAGAGGGAACATTGCTCCTCACCACAGATGTTTGTTTGTGTCCAGGGACACTCCTAACTCTTGGGACCGAAGGACAATTAACTTTCTGACCTAGCTTTGGTCTAGCTTTCCTGTGCCATCCTAGCTGAGTTAAAGCTCATGTAAAGCCTCTTTATACGTTGTCCCTAAACTCATCCCATAGCTCACAGGACTGCAGACAGACCTGGGAACAAGCTGAGTGTTATCTCAGTTGGGTTGGGTTGGAGAGCTTATTGAGTGTGGTCAAACTAGTTTAGGGACTAGCTTCCTTGTTCCCAGTCCCAAAGAACTTTTCTGGCATAATACAAGTCTTTTGGGCTTGCTCAAGGATTGCACAGTATCCAGGAGCCATTTATTTATTTATTTAAACCTGCCTTTGTGGACTTTTGCAGAGTTCTTTCTACTGCCTTGAACACAGGCAAAACTGCATCTTTTTTTTGAGAGAGAGGGCACAAAAAAGTATCCTGAAAAACAAATGCCTTTCTGTTTACAGTAACACAGTCAAAATAAAGCTAAAGATTTTTTGGCTGAGCTCTAGTGATTTCAGACTGAGGAATTTTTTTGTCATGTTCTGAATTTTTGTTCTCATTACTGTGGGTTTTTCAGAGCAATGAGGACTTTGTATTTCACAGCTTGGGGTGGCAGCTTGAGTTGGCTCAAAGCTTCAAGTCCCCAGATGCAGAGATTATTTTTTAAAAAATCTGTTACCAAAAGTTGCTCGTTAGAAGGTCATCCTCCTCTTGCATCTTAATGTCCACGTGTAGGAGGCAAGTTTTGTTTTTGTTTTTTTCCCCCTCAGTATGTGCACAGGCAGGTTGGTGCAGGGATTATTCGAGGTCCAAAGGAGAATAAGCAGCACCAGTGGCACACTTTGTGTTCCTTTGTTTTAAGCTTGCTGTTGAAAACATATCTTTTAAGCTGCATATCCCCTTTCTAAAACCTGAACAAATGAAATGAGTGCTTACTAGATAATGAATAGTATGATCAGAGCTCCGTTAACTATTTGGATTTATTCTAATGCTTTTCACTTCAATATGACTAAGTTGGTATAAATCCCAAATATTTTGACTTGTTTGGTTGTTGTAATCTTAGTGACTCGGAGTAATCTTTACAATTGGCTGTGAAAGAAAATTCTTCCATAGTTTTGCTAGTACAGCTTGTTTTTCCCCAGTAGTGCCTTACTGACCCATTAAGCTTCCAAAGTATTATGGGCATAGGCTTTGATAACATGAGAGGTGCTTTTTGACTTTAGAATAATGTTTTGGGGAGTTTCAACTTTCCAAAACGATAACACATAGAAGATTCTTTCTTTAATACTGTGCATAGTCCAAAAAATTGAGGGGGGGTGGTTAATTGGAAATATGTCTGGTGTCAGTTCAATAGGCAAATCTTTGCTAGGATAAGATGAAGGCTGGGACAATCATGTGCAGTCTCAGCCACTTGAAGGATCAGAAAGAGAGAAAGAGCCTTAACCTGATATGGCAATCTCGCCCTTTTCCTGACCATCACGTGCAGGATTTTCCCTCAGTTTTTCTTTCTGGCTGTTGTTTTTGTTCAGTCACACAGTCGAGTCCAACTCTTCGCGACCCCGTGGACCATATCACGCCAGGCCCCCCATCTTCCGCCATCTTCTGGACTTTGTTCAAGTTCACGTTCGTTGCATTGGTAACACTGTCTAACCATCTCATCCTTTGCCGCCCCCATCTTCTGTTACCTTCAATCGTTCCCAGCATCAGGGTCTTCTCCATTGAGTGCTCCCTTCTCATTTGGTGGCCAAAGTATTTGAGCTTCAGCTTCAGTATCTGTCCTTCCATGGAACAGTCAGGTTTGATTTCCTTTAGGATGGAGTGATTTGATTGCCTTGCAGTCCAAGACTCTCAAGAGTCTTCTCCAGCACCATAATCCAAAAGCATCTGTTCTTTGGCGCTCGGCCTTCCTTATGGTCCAGCTCTCGCAGTCATACATTACTACTGGGAATACCATCACTTTGACTATGCAGACTTTCGTTGGCAGTGTAATGTCTCTAGTTTTTATTATGCTGTCTAGGCTTGCCATCGCTTTCCTCCCAAGGAGCAGGCATCTTTTAATTCCATGGCTGCAGTCACCGTCTGCAGTGATCTTGGATCCCAGGAACGTGAAGTCTGTTACAGCTTCCATGGCTTCCCCGTCTATTTGCCAAGGAGTGATGGGGCCAGATGCCATGATCTTAGTTTTTTTGATGTTGAGCTTCAAGCCCACTTTTGTGCTTTCCTCTTTCACTCTGAGCAAGAGGCTCTTTAGATCCTCTTCACTTTCTTCCATTAGAGTGGTATTGTCAGCATACCTGAGGTTGTTGATGTTTTTCCTGGCGATCTTAATTCTGGCTTGTGATTCATCCAGGCCAGCATTTTGCATGATGTACTCTGCATATAAATTACATAAGCAAGGTGATGATATACATCCTTTTCCTATTCTAAACCAATCAGTTGTTCCATGTCTGGTTCTAACTGTCGCTTCTTGACCCTTAAACAGGTTTCTCAGCAAACATGTGATGTGGTTTGGTACTCCCATCTCTTTAAGGACTTTCCACAGTTTGTTTGTTTATTTTGTTGTGGTCCACACAATGAAAGGCTTTAGCATAGTCAATGAAGCAGAAGTGGATGTTTTTATGGTACTCCCTTGCTTTCTCCATAATCCAGCGAATGTTGGCAGCTTGATCTCTCATTCCTCTACCTCTTCGAAACCCAGCTTCTCTATTCACTTACTACTGAAGTCTAGCTTGTAGGATCTTCAGTGTGACCTTGCTAGCGTGTGAAATGAGTGCAATTGTGGGATTGCCTGAACATTCCTTGGCATTGCTCTTCTTTGGGACTGGAATGTAAACTGACCTTTTCCAATCCTGTGGCCACTGTTACATTTTCCAAATTTACTGGCATATTGCAGCACTTTAACAGCATCATCTTTTAGGACTTTGAATGGCTCAGCTGGGATACCATCACCTCTGCTAGCGTTGTTGTTAGTAATGCTTTCTAAGGCCCATTTGACTTTGCACTCCAGGATGTTTGGCTCAAAGTCAGCAATCATAGTGTCGTCATGAGAGGGCTTTCTCACTGAGTAGCCCCTTTATCTATTTTCTTCTTATTTGAAGGTTTATGGCTGTCCCATCCTGTTATGTTATTATATTTTTATGCTGGCTCAGCCCAGTGACGAGGGAAGAGACAAAATCACCTTCTTAACTTATACTTCTAAAAATGGCACATGAGAGGCTTTTGAAAGTTCAGAAATACCATATTTTATTCAATGTAGAGGGGAAAAGATGAGGTGAAATAAGGGGTAAAATATCTGAGGTGAATCTATAATAACTCTGAGGTAACTTGGTAATTTCACAAACTCCAGTTAATATATTTCCAGAAAATAAGAGTTTTTAACCTTTTCACAAAATCTTAGAATCTTTGAGATGAGAGGCTTTGGTTACAGTGTCTACTGGACAGTCCAGTATAAGTTCTTGAGGTTAACTGTCTCCTTTCAGAAGGCAGGGATACACTACCAAGTACCGAAAAGCCTTCTCTAAACACACCAGGGATCATTCCACTCTTTAGAGCTGTCTGCGTGTTCAACTGGCCAGGGAATTACTTCTCTAAACTAGAAGCTCTGTCTGTTATTCTGGGTCAAATGGGGATCTTCAGCGATCCTCCCACTCCTCCTTGCCACCTTCTCAGTCCTCCATCAGTGCTAAAATGAATTCTCTCCAGCAGTCAGTTCCCAGTTCTTTCTTCTCAACTGATGCTATCCAGTGAAATCTGTTTGAGCAGCCTGTCACTCAAAGGCTCTCTGGCTCTGTAAGGCATTAACCCTTCACAGTCTGTCACATGTTTATGAGCTTTTAAAGTACAGTCTGTTAATATTATTGCCAACAAAATGGTTATAAGGCATGGGGAGGAGCTATGGGAACAGAGTACACAATCCTGCATCCCACTCCCAGTCCTTTAGCCACTGAAGACTAGTTTGCACTGGAACTGATGTAAATACTAGTGATTAAATTTTGACACCAATATAGATTGTCTTAATTAAAATACAACATTATTTTTAATTTAATCTCTGTAGTTTATAATGGAATTCTATGTTTAGATTTCTTTGTTTTGTCTTGGGTTTTTAGTAAAAGGTAAAGGTTTCCCTTGCTCGAAAGCTAGTCGAATCCGACTCTGTGGTGCGGTGCTCATCTCCGTTTCCAAGCCGAAGAGCCAGTGCTCTCCAAAGATGTTTCCATGGTCATGTGGCCGGCATGACTAAATGCTGAGGCACACGGAATGCTGTTACCTCCCCACCAAAGCGGTACATATTTATCTACTTGCAATTTCTTGCTTTCGAACTGCTAGGTTGGCAGGAGCTGGGGCCAGAGACAGGAGCTTACTCCATCACACAGCACTAGGGTCTCAAACTGCCGAACTACAGACTTTCTGTTCTGCAGCTCAACGTCTTAACCTCTGAGCCACCAAATTGGGACCAAATTGCGCAAGAGACTGGGGGTTTCACGGCTAAACTCCCATCCATTTTTTTTCCTTTTAAAAATACGGCATGCAGGGCTCTGCTTGGATCAGGAATGCAGCATAAGGCTTTAAGGTTGTTGGGGGTTTTTTCCTCTGACCTAAAATTGCCTCATGGAGCTGCTTTTTACCATTTTTGAGTAAACATATGGGTATGTGTTTAGCCCAGCAGGCAAGAAGTAGCTGTGTATGGCCATTTCAGGTAAGGAAAATAGGGGTAGAGGCTTTAACTCTCCACCCACCCATCCCCAGTGCTCTGGACTTGACCTGAATTGGGGTTCCGTGTGCCCATTGAGGGGTCATTGGGGTTCCATGTGCCCACTGAGGGGTCATTCACAGAATTATTGAGTGTTGCGTATGATTTCATCCTTAGCAGAGGCAGTATGATGCTAGCATGCTTCCAACTGCGTGACTGTGTTTATCTCAAGCAGTATTAAACCCTTTTAAAAGAAACACACATTGGACATGGTTATAACAAAAATTGTGACTTTAATCATGAATGCACAAGAGTGTTGTGTCCCTTCTTAATAATAAAGATAGAAACAAAATAAAAATGCACAGCACTGCTTCTGATTATTGAATTGTTTGGGGACTTTTGCAAGAATGTAGGCCAGCGAAAGACTGGCATCAGATACAACTCCTGCTGTATCAGCATGTAGCTTTTATTACTTTGCGGGTTGAACAGGGAGGAACGCTCAAAGACTGGTTGCTTGCAGAAATGCAAGAAGAATTAAGACATAGAAAAGAAAAAAGGGGAGGAGGGTTGGAAAAAACTGTTATGGTTATTTAATATGGCCTATTTCAGCCTTATGTAAACTGATCAGTTCAAAGTACACTGGTAATTATTATGTGATCATAGAGCTTTTTATATTTGTTTGAAAGTTTGCAGTTCAGACCACCATTTTAAAGCATAAATGGATCTTTTATTTTAAAACTTCTGATATGACAAATACAATTATTTTTGCTGTGTATCAGAAAAAACAATGTAGCAGCTCTGTGTGTGGGGAGGGAAGAAATATTTTGTGTTAGGCCTCATATTGAAAGAAAACCTCGTGTTGTGCTACAGAGCATCATTGGTGGTTTCAGTGACTTTAGGCACCTTCTGAAAGCCAAAGTATACATTCAGGGGCAGGACCATGCCTGACAATATGGAGAACCACAGAAGCCAAATGAAGAAGCAGGACACCTAGGTGCAGAATGCCAAGGAGAGAGAGACTAGACCGGAAGTAGGCTACTGAATCCCCTGCACTCTAGGCTCTCAGTGGGGGGAGTGTGGCCTGAGGGGGAGGAGTTTGTAAGGAAAGTGGCAAGTGGAGACTTAGGACTGTCTTTCTCCTGCCAGTTTGGTGTAATGGTTAGGGGCGCAGACTCTAATCTGGGAGAACCAGGTTTGATTCCCCACTCCTCCACATGCAGCTGCTGGTGTGGAGGAGTGGATTAGTCAAAAGTTCTTTCAGAGCTGTTCTCTCAAGGGCAGTTCTCGAGAGAGCTCTCTCAGCCCCACCTTATTCACAGAATGTCTGTTGTGGGGAGGAGAAGGGAAAGGGATTGTAAGCCGCTCTGAGACTTCTTTGGGTAGTGAAGGGTGGGGTATAAATCCAATCTCCTCCTCCTCCTCCTCCTCCTCC